GAAGGAAGGGGGCTTTCTGGGATGGAGATGTGATTGTAGGGTGCTTCTGGGAAAGCACAGAAGTTTTCCAAGTCTGTTGGGTGTGAGCTGACAGCACTGGTAAAGACTAAGAAGTGCTGTGGATGAGTGGCTCGGCGTTCCAGGAGACCTCAGCATCTCTTGCAGCAGATAAGCTTGATGCAGTTGTAGGCTGGAGACAACCAGTAAGGCAAAGCCGGCTCCGTGTGGAAGGTTGCTTTGTGCAATCCTTGCACAGCTTCTCTTTGAGGTGCCAGAGCTTCCCAGCTGGCTGTGGCATGTATTTTGTGTGCCCAGAGACCTTGGCTTGTTTTGATGGCGTGTCTGTTTTGGAGAACATTAAAATAAAAAAACAACATTGTTTGGAGGCGAGGAGTCTGTGTTGGGAACCATTTGATTAAATAACCCTAGGCTTCCTCAACCCTCAATTAGAACAGCCGTGATGAGGCCTCTCTGAGTATCCCTGTGGATTTTAGGTGTGTGGCTCACCATGAACTCTGATGCTACGGGGTTAGCATCCAGCAAGGTAAGGAAGCGGGTGCTCTGGTGGCGAGCAGCTCTTTCTGGATGTGTATTTATATCCATATCTGCTCCAAAAGTCTGAGGCACTCCTCCGCCTTCCATGATTAGCAGTGTCTAGCTGGTGGTTGGTACCACACCGTGGCAGGCTACATTTCTAGCTTAGCAGGAAAGCTCAGAACTGCTCGAACCACGTGAATGATGGCTGCTGCAGCCGGCTGGGTTTGACCCTAGTGTGTCCAATGGCAACTGTGAGCATAGGGGTGTAACTTTAATTCCTTTTTTTTTTTCTCCTTATTTTCTTTTTTTGCTAACCCTTTCCCCACTGTCTGAGCAAAGTCAAAACCATTTTTCTAGAAAACGGCAGGGCCCCAAAGCCAGTATTTCGATTATAGAAACAGTCTTCCTGCCTCGTGCTTTGATTCAGTGTAGCACTGGCTTGTTTTCCTGGAAATCCTCTAAAAAAGCCAAATTCAGGATGGGTGTAGCTACGTCACGGAAAGAAAATACAAAGCCAAAATGGCCTCTGAGGTACGGAGTATGGCAAGACCTCAAATACCAAAATCCCATGTTGCAGCAAGCATTCAGGCAAAACTGTTCCTGACTTACCTTCTGAGAGAAAGAAAAAAAAAAAAATTAAAAAAAAATTGGCAATACTTGCTGCCTTTGTGTCGCATAGACCCTCCCTCTGCTTGCTTGGGTGCCCTGTAAAAGTTAATTCATTACTGTTTGCAGAGGGCTGCCTTTCTCTGCTGCCAAATGCCGCTGAGGTGCCCTGTGCTCCTGTTGGATCCGCTTGTTTGCTTTCCTTGCTGGCAGCCTGCTGTGCCATGGCCTTCTTCGGGGTAGTAGTAATAATAATAATAATAATAATAATTTAACAAAACAGACCAAACAGACCAAACAAACCAACAACAACAACAAAAAAAAGAACCAAACAAATCAACCCTCCAGCCACACAAAATGCAAAGCAACAAAACGTTGAGCCTTACCGATATTACCTACAAGGAAAACTGGGTTTCTTGTAGGTCACTGGCCTGTGCAAGAGTTGTGGGTTGGTTTTTTTTGTCGAGTTGTAGGTTTTCTGAGTCTGAACTATTGCATGAAAATGCTTTTCTGTGTTCTGGCAGTTTGTTAGGATGCCTGACATATATTGGGCTGCCAGATCCACTTTGTAGGCCACGGGGAGGATCCTGGCTCTGACCCTCTCCGAACAGGCAATTAAGTGCCGAGACTTTCCGTTCGTTTTCTTCCTGCCCCTCCCCATTCTTTGAAAACCCATCAGTGTGAGGGAAGCCTGAGTTTGCTGGAGTGTGGGGTGAGTGGATGCAGTGACCGACATGGTGCTGAACTCCTCCCGAGACACTAGGCCAGGGGAGCCAAGCCGCCTCCCAACGCGGGCTCCGGGAAGGCCGCCAGCTTCCATCCCCATCGGAGCTTGTGGGTGGAGAAGAGGCTTGCTGCGGCCACTTCACCTTCCTCACAAGGCAGCAGAGGGTCTGCCCTGCGGCGGAAAGTCCCCAAAAAACTGCATTTTGGTCGGGAGGCATCAGGCTCCTCCTTAGCTTAGCGTTTTGCTTTGCTCCTGTTCGCTCCTCGGGGCTGCTCTGGGTGCTTATTTGCTTGAGGTTGCCTTCCTCCGTGCACGCTGCATTGCACAAGAGCCTTGGGTCCCTTTCTGCCGGGCTTGTGATGGCTTTGCTGGTTTTGGGGGCGTTCTTGTTGCTTTGCAGCTCCCGCATGGGGCAGGGCTGGCTGTCCTGCACTGCACAGGGTGAGGCTTCCCCTTGATGTGGGCAACGAGGTTGAGCAACACAGCCCAGAAGGCTCTGATTCAGCCTTCTCTTCACTCTTGCTAATTATTGTGACCCTTCTAATTTTCTTGGCCGCAGCATCTTCTCTTTATAATTTTTTTGGGTTTTTTTCCTCTTTAAAAGGGCATTTAAAGAGTTGCGGTCCAGCCGTCTTCCTAACCTGCCATGCTTAGGATGGACTGCATGGGACACAGAAATGGGATGGTAGAAATTTAGGAAACTGATGTTTAATTACAATTCTGTTCCCATAGAGCAGATCTTTGCTGTGACTGAGGTACCTCATGTGTGGGACTGAGCCTGTGCTGGATTTGCAGCAGCAAGAAATAGGTGGGCTTTAATTTTCAGGGCAGCAATGGTTGCTTATTGCAATGTAAAAGCTTTATTGTGTTTGGATTTTGGGTGCGTGTGCCAATGAATTGGTGGGGTAGGTTATCTAGTGAGGGGATGGAAGGAGTTAGTGGGTGGGGAAAGCAGGCATCCTGATGATAATGTTCTCTGTGAGGTCCAGGGAAAATGTGTATATATTAAAATAAATTATTCTGTCTAGTGATGCATTGTGCTTTGTCTGAATAGAGCTAGTTGGTCAATGGAGCACCTCCCAAACATCTCCCACTGCTGGGAGGGAAGTTCTAACATTGCCTGAAATGACTGCAGTGTATTAGCAGACCATAACTCTGTTCATTTTTATCTTCTTGTTTTCAGTTGATCCTGGTTTTCCAAATGTTGCGTTTTGAGATGAAACTGTATGGAGTTTTACCTTGCTAGGAAGCGGACATGGAAAAACTTGTTCATGTTTGAATATAGTCAGAAGGGAGAATATGTGCCACTGCCGCATGGCTTCGTTTATGAAATTTTGTTTTTTAAGCTGCAGCAAATTCACAGTAGAAATTGGAAGTTTGGCAGGGAGAAATAAACCAGCTTTCACTTTTTCTCTGTCATCATCTACATGTGTGTGGCAGTGGATCAATCTGTACTACATAATTAAAGGAAGATTATTTCCTTGATTAAATAGTGGCTTTAATTCCATATCAGTAGCTGAGTGCTTAAATGGAGTTGCTTTTAACAAACCCAGTATGAGGAAATATGAAGGACCAACACTTGAAAAGTAAAGCTTCTTTAAGATGCTCTAGCAGGATACAAAAGACCCCACTAAACAGTCCCAAAAGGTTGAATTTGCTTCAAAAGCTAAATTAATCATCTTAAAGGTACACAGCTAATGAAATGTATGGCGCTGTACCATAATACTGACTGACGAAGGTACACAGTGAACAAGTCTGGGTTTGTTCTTCTTTCTCAGAATCTAATGAATGGGCTGGCATCTACGCTTAATTCACTGATCAGTGGGAGGGGGGCAGCTGGAGAATGAGGATGGCAGAGGGTGTGTGTGTGTTTAAATTACTGGGGTGTGATGCAAAAGTTTAATATTAGCACAAGGCACAGGAACATTTAAATTGCTCCTCTGGGAGCGCAAGTTGAATCGGTGGTAGTGCTGAGAATTGAATTTAGGTCTTAATTTGTTCGTGTCTTATTTTCCCACGTTACCATCCTTGTAATGTTTTCTTCCTATGTTGTAACATGTGTGAGAATACTTGGTCACTTTCCTTGGGGAGAGGCTTTGTTTGCTAAGTGCGGACTTTACAATTAACTGGCAACAAATGTGTTGGCAGTTCCCTTTATGATTTTTGTGGGTTCGAAATGAAATTAAGTGTGGGTTCTTGGCAAACTCCAGCTGACTGGGTCAGTGCTGCCAGCCGGACACCACAGCAGGGCACGGGGCAAGAGCAACGTGGAGGGAGCCATGTCCTAGGTCCCGCATGTATATTGGCGTTTTTAAACGCTTTATTTTGTAATACTCTCCTATTTATTATTAGCGGGGGCCTACAGACATCTGTCTCGCTGTTGTCAAAATGATTGCAAAGGAAGATACCTCTGGGTTGAGCCTTTCCTGCTGCTGGTGTGTGTGATGTTTTGCTCTGGTGTGTTGTCATTTTATGTAGCGGTATCCCTTCAAAGGGAGGGAGAGAGGGAGGGAGTGTCGCTGCTCCTTCTTCTGTCTCTTGCCTGGGATGCCTGGGATTTAACAAGCAGCCCTACTCCTCAGGCAGTGATCTTATCTTGCTGTGAAAGCTGAAGAGATCGGGCTCCTGTGGGTGCTCCCGTGGAGGAGGTCTGAGGAGCTGCGAGGTGGGGCTGGAAATGACTCAAAGGGAAAAGCATCCATCCTGAGCTGGTCCCTCCATCCAGGAGGATGGGCTACAGCAAAACCAGCGTGGTGCTCTGATCCTTCAGCCTGGGCAAGGTCTCTGCTTCACAGCTCCAGGTGGGCTCAGCTCTTCTTCTGCAGTTTCCCATGCTGCAGGCAGCCTAGTGCTTCGGTTTTTTTGCTGCCCTTGTTTAGGGATTTCCTATCATCCTTGCACTGAGGTGAGGGCAGACACATTTATCTTGCATCTCAGATGAAATGTTAGGTCCCAGAGAGAGTAATTAATATTCTGTTTATTGCATAATGCCGTAGGCGTGACAACCCGTTCCAAATAATGTGACTATTCCTCCTTCTTTTATATTTTTTTATTTAAAGAAACAAAACAACTTGTTGCGTTCTGGGGGGTTTTGTCTTATGTTGGTTTTTTTTTTTCCTTTTCTCCCTAGCATCCAGCGAGCTGCACTGGTGGTTCTGGAAAATTACTACAGAGATTTCACAGTCTACAACCCAGCCTTGTTAACAGCCTCCAAATCCCGTGCAGCCAAGCACATGGCTGGACTGAAAGTCTACAATGTTGATGGTAGGTGAGGTGAAATGTAGGCTCTGAGACTGGGTGGGATGGGGAAGGGCTGGGTTGGCTTTATGCTTTGTTATGCACACATTCTCACCTTTTTGCTTTGCCAAATCCTTGTCTCTTGCTGGAAATCTTCCTAACAGTGCTGAGTTTGCCGGTTCCAGATGACTTTACAGATGTGTTTAGCCCACAATAAGGCTTTTGTCTCTGCCAGGTGAAACAGCCAAGTTTTTGGTCAGGCTTAATTATTACGTGGCTTGACAAGCACTTTTCGGCACCACTGCTTGTTTTAGGCAGCCTCTGCTGTTTTGTCACCCTTGGGGTCATCTCCTTGGTTGTGCTAGTACAATAAACACAACTTCTAACCTAAATGAGTTCCTCAGTCATTTGCTATGCCTCTTCCACAGGTAGCCTTCGGGAAAGTGAAGGAGGTTGATACCAATGTGGGAAGAAGCAGCAGCCTTAGCAGTAAATTAGCCGTGCCTGGCTTAGGACCAGCCGTGCTCCCAAGTCATCGTAACACTAAGCAGTTTGTGGAAGTTCAGAGACAGATAACTATCCCCCTCGAGCTTTGCCATTCTACAAACCTGTTCTAAATTTTGGGGTTCTATAGAGGCCTGTGGGAGGGTGGCTGGGTTGGATCCCTGTGGACACTCAAAGCGGTGAAAACTGGACTTAATCATTTGACACTCTTAAACCCTATCAGTGAAAGCTGGGAGTGATAAGCAGGGTGTGCCCAGCCATCACAGCCTTTATAGACAGTGCATTCCTTTGATGAAAGAACTGAAGTTGCTTAGGGAAGCTTCTTACAGTGAAGGACAGCTGAGGTCCTGTCACAATATGTGGCAAGGCATGTCCTGACAGTGAATAAGTTAGTATTGAAGAGCTTTGAGAGCTGGAAGGGAGAAGGGGCTGAAGGGACTTAGCTGGGCAAGAGGGTTCTGTGTGTAGGTTGTGGAGACTGAATCACAGAATTGTCAGAGTTGGAAGGGACCTCTAGAGATCATCTAGTCCAACTCCCCTGCCAAAGCAGCATTGCCCAGAGCACATCACTCAGGACTGCATCCAGGCGGGTCTTGAAAACCTCCAGAGAAGGGGACTCCACGACCTCCCTGGGCAGCCTGTTCCAGTGCTCTGAAATACGATTGTGTCACATAGGAAGATATGAGACATGATTGGTTTACTTTCAACAAAACTTCAGTGTTTTGTGGATTGGGATTTTTTTAGAAAAATTTTTTGCGTTTTTAGTGACTTCAGAAGTTTTAAAAACCTTATTCTAAATGTTTCCCCAAACCTGCTGTAGCACTTCTGAGCCCATAAAACTAGTTGGACTTTTAGATCCTTACAATGAAATGCCCCCATTCTGACAGGGGAAGGGTGAAGGGAAGCAGGGGGCAGGGAGAGGGACAGGCTTGCTCATCCTGTGTCCCCTGCTGCCTGGCATGAAGAAGCTGTCAGGTGGGAAAGAACAAGTTGGGTTGGAGAGGGGAAGCAAACAGACTTGCTCTGTGCTTTCCTAGAGGTGAAATCTTTCATTCCAGCTGCTCTCTCTCATTCTCAAAAGATGCTACAGCATCTCTTCAGGAGGTGGCAGGGTCCTTGCTCCTGCAGCACCTGCTGGGACTCCCAAGCTTGGAGGAGAAACCACCGGTCTGGTAGCATTAGTGGTTTAGGAGCTGTTAGCTCACGAGTCTTTGTTGGAAGAGAAGGAACCAGAAGCAAGCTCCAGATGTGGCTGGCAGGCCTTTCCAAGTGTCAAGCTCATGAGCCTGCCGGGGCCTGAAAACTCATGCCTTTCCCTCTGGAGCAGTACTGGTTCCTTGTGCAATGCCGCTGCCTTCGTGGATGTGGAAATCTCAGGCTTAGAGGCACGTCCTTAAGAAGAAGATTCCCATCCATTTTACAAAGTAGAGTGTAATTCTGGCTGCAGCTTTACGTTGGCATCCTGACAACGTCTCTTACGCCCTCCATGTGAAAAGACAGTAATGCTATTAAGGCAGCCTAATTTGTTGGCAGCTTTTGTATTTGATAGTGGAGCAGCCAGGAAGGGAAAACATCTTGCTGTAATCTCTCTTATACGGAGTGGCGAGGCTCACCTTCAAAACCAGGATTTTCATCGCCAGGCGTAGTCAACGAGGCAAATTACAGTTCTAACCCAAATTTGGGAGCTGGTGTCTCCCTTGAGTCGTATCCTCCATTTCAGGGCTGTCAAACAATGTCTGAAGTGTTTAGACTCTTAAGAAGCTGTGTGGATGCTCGTCCTTCCCACTGCTGAGCTTCAGGCTTGTGTCTTGGAATCTGGTTTGTGCTTTTTAGGAAAACATTTAAAAGTTGCCCTTGCATAAGCAGAACAATTATAAGCGTGTCTGTGTAATTGATTGGTTTTAACCACTGCCAGTTGTGAGAGTGTGGGCTTTCAGAGCAGTTGGTTAGAAAAGCAGCTCTTGGTGGTTTGGAGACTGTCCTAGATTTCTCCATTTTTTTCCCTCTGGTTAGACCCACCTCTATCTAGATAAATAGATTGGTAGGCTCTTTCGGGGCAAAATTTTATTTTCTCCCCTCTTTGCCCAACCAGCCAGAGCTGTGAGCTTCATGAGGGAACTGCAGAACCTGCCGGGTTCTGCATTTTAGGGTCACTGGTCAAAGTCCTGTAGTAGACAGCTCTGTCACTTGTCCAGGTGTTAGAGAACAGATCGCAGCTTCCCCGTTCCTGTAGCTGTGTAGGATCTGTTCACAGCAACAGAAGCACTAATGGCAGGTGCTGCTCTGAGAGCCTTGAGGAGCTACTATGCATATAGACCCCAGCCTACCCTGTTGCAGGACTGCTGCTCTGACAGCATCTGCCCTTCTGGAAAACCCTGTGCTTTGTCTAAAGGTGACCCTGCTGCCTTTGCATCCTGTTTTTCCTCTCTGCGTGTAACTGTCTGGAGCTTGGCTTTCATTCGTTCATCTTCATGGCTCTTGATGTTCTTGTGTTTGTCTTTCTCCTCTTTCCAACTCCTCACTTCTTGTGCTCTCGCACTGTCTCGTTGCTGAAATGTGGTGTGTTCCAGCTGCCCTTGCCTTCAAACTGAAAACATATATAATGGGTGGTAAGTTGCATCCTTGGCATGTGCACCTCACCTCTGCCTTCGTGTACGTTGTGTGAGATCCTTCATCCCAACTAACTTCCCTCGTCCGCAAGCCAAAGTCCCCTCTGCAAGCCTGTGCTGCCTGGCGGGGTTTCTGTCACAGCTCCTGAGGACCAGGGAAGGGTTTGTAGCCTTGGCTGGGAAGGCTGGAGCCTCGAAGCACTTGTGACAGATGCTGCGGGGTGCTGGTCTGCCCCAGCTCCGGCCCTGTGGTGTTAATGCCGCTTTCTTGCTCCTTCCTCACCCCCTGAAGGCCCAGGTAACAACGCTTCGGGGCAGTCCCGTGCCATGATTGCAGCCGCGGCCCGTCGCCGGGACTCCAGTCACAACGAGCTCTACTATGAAGAGGCCGACCACGAGCGCCGAGTGAGGAAACGCCGCGCGAGGTAAAGATGTTCCTCCCCGCGTGCAGCTCCTTGGTGTCCACCAGGCTTGTGGAGCCCGGCGAGAGCCAGGGGGGGACCCATGGTTAAGGGCTGGGGGTCGGCTGTAAATCTGTCACAGAGAAGCAGCCTGTGACACCCAGACGCATGAGGGATGGTGACAGCTTGCAAGTGGGATTATCTGAGGAACATGCATAAAGCAGAGCTCGTGTTCATTATGTGCCAGATAAGCTAATGCGATGTCACGGATTTAGGGAACAGTGCGGTGCTTGACGAATCTGTAGTTACTTGCTGTAGGAAATCCCATTATTTCCCCCATGCCCAGGCTTGTCGTCTTGGCTCAAGTAGTCCAGGGACAGGATCGGTGGAGCGTTTCGTGTTGCCTGCTCACGGGTGAGGAGAATATTTGTGTTTGCAGACTACTACTAGAAGGGGCAATTTGCCCTTTTCAGTGAGTTGTGGAGGAAAGAAAGACCTGGCCAGAACTGGTTGGGGTTTATTTTGGAACACAGGTATGTTTCCTGCCAGTCACACTTGGGCTGCAGAGTTGATGCTTTGTTGAGGTGACCTGAGAGAGTGTCTCTGTTTGCTCTGGAGCCTAAATGCAATTTGTAGTTAACTTACCTAACATTTTGAGGACGGGCACCCCTTAACTGAGCCGTGTTTGGAAGGAATGTGCCGTGACTGGAAGGAGCTGGCTTGTTTTGTTTTGGCAGTTTATATTTCATTGAGAAAGTGCTGACACAGTGTCCTCCCCTCCAAAGCCTGCTTCGGTCTGACCTGTGCTCCATAGCTGCTGTCTTTTGGGCTCTCTTCCAGCCTTGGAGCAATAGGAAACTAAACTTTTCTTTCCATGCTGTGTAGCATCCTAACTCGGGCACATCTCCCTCGCTTGCCGAGTTTGGTTAGAACAGCTGCTTAGTCAGAGGAAAGCCATCAGTCACTAGAAGACCAGGCCAGATGTTTCAAGGGAGAAAGGTCAGAGCAGCGACAAAAAGACACAAGGAGATTAGAAACTGATTTCCACCCCCCACCTCCCTCAAGTCAAATTAAACAAAACGGGCAGGGGTCAGGGCTTCTCGTGCTGTTCCTCATACATAGTCTGCATGGAGTGTGCTAAACTTCTGCTTGTCATGGGGCAGCTTCCCCTGGCCTTAAGATGCAGTGTGGACAGTAGTTGGTGACTTGAGTGGAAATTTAGTGTAAAACAAGTCCTGTCTGGAGACGTAAAGGGGTTTTGCTGGGCGGCTCTTCCATTATCATTGCTTTTTCCTCGCTGACCGTAGCGTAGCCCCTCACTTGTTATTTAGTCCTGGGCTAGCTTGCAAGTGTCGTTTGGCATCTGTTTGCCTTCTTATGGCGTGGTCTTAGTGTTTGCTCACCTGTGCCAACACGGGAATGGTTAGCAGAGGCTGTCTGTAGCCACAGTGTTAGGAGTGAAGGCAGGAGAGGAGGGGAGCAGAGCAATCACTCAGGAGCAGAACAATCATTCAGCAGCAGAAGTTCTGGACCCAGTTGGTGTAAATCAGAGCAGACGGCAGCTTGTGAGCGCCGCAGAGTCACAGAGCGGTCTGTGTCCCATCACCCATGAGTCCTATGAGTGTATAGCCAGCCCTTTCCCCACTGCTTGCCTGTCCTTACGCTTCACGCTGACAGTAGTGTGTGCTGGAACTGTTGTTTTCAAAGACAGGCATTAAACGCAAGGGCAGCTGTGTCTCATTTGAGTCGTGTAGCTGATGTTTATGCTGTGTTGGCAGAGCCAAGTACGACAAGTACGACAGCTTTTAAAGTCTCCATCCTGGTTTATGACCCTCAGTTGCTGGATGGCTTGGGCAAGGGAAAAAAAAGTTGCTGTCTACCCCTCAGACTGTCAATAGAGAAGATTTTATGTAAATTGCGTGATGGCAGGCAGTGAGTCAGTGGCAGAGACGGGAGTAGGAGCTTGTAAATCCTGACTCCCAGGCTCTGCCTTAACCACAGACCCATCCTACCTCTCTTGATTTTCCTTCTGCAGGCTTGTGGTTGCAGTAGAGGAGGCTTTCACTCACATCAAACGGCTCCAGGCAGAGGAACAGCAGAAAGCTCCAGGAGAGATGATGGACCCTCGAGAAGCAGCCCAGGCAATCTTTCCCTCCATGGCAAGAGCTCTGCAGAAGTACCTTCGCACCACCCGCCAGCAACAGTACCACAGCATGGAGAGCATCTTGCAACACTTGTCCTTCTGCATCACCAATAACATGACACCAAAGGTAATGCTTTCTCTAATCTTGGTGCTGCGAGGAGGGAGCCAGGGATGCCACGTCGCTGTGGGCAGGCAGAACAGAAAATTGTCAGGGGAGGTGTGTGTGGAGGTTTCCACAGTTGCTGTCTGTGATAAGATCAGTGCTTTGTAGGTTGCATCAGGTCTTAAAGGGAAGTAATGTTTCCTCTACATCATCATCTGTCTTTTTTTATCTGGATGTGCTTGTGAGATAGTTGTTCTCATATCCAGTTCAGCAAAGGGAGTACCAAAGAAGCGTGTGAGATGGTGGCCTGGAGTCACAGGCTGGCTGTTTTCCCAGCTGGCTCATGGTAGCAGCATGATGCAGGTGGCAACCTGCAAAGGACTTTTTTTTTATTTATTTTTTTTCTTTAATTCCTTTACACTGCTGCATTTTGGGCTGCTTCTAATTATCGCCAAAATCCCTCTCTCCCTGCAAGCATTTCTAATTCGTGGGCCACTTGCTCAAACATCAGTTTGCTGCTTCGCGCCCTGACTGTGACTGTTGACTTGTGGACACAGGGAGGGACTGAATGATGGGGGAAGGAAATGGGTCACACGGGGGGAATTGTGTGACCCACTCTCCCCCTTCCCCTCTAAGAACACCCCACAATCCTAGAGAAGGGTTAGAAATGTGAGAATTTACTCCCGGGCAATTTACCCAGGACTTACTATTCTAAGAGCAGAAATGCTGTCAAGAGATGGGACATCTCACTGGGATCCACCTGGGACCTCACACGAGGGAAGTTCTGCTGCCATTAAGATTGTAAAGGACATTTTAAAATGCAAGTCAAATGGCGCGCTCTGTTCTGCTTTCAGTTTGCAGCTTCAGTCAGGCTGCAAACGTGGAAACCTCTGCTTTCCACCTTGGCTTGAAGAAGGGAAGGGCCACCTGTCCTATCTGCCTACTTGGGACTGCAATTTTGGGATGGGTTATGGGGCTTGGTAGGGGAGAAATGACCTCTGCTTTACTGAAATGCTTCTGGATGGCAGTGCTGGCAGCAGGAGTCAGGGCTATAACCTTGCAAGCTTGCTGGAATGGACTGAAAGAGGAACTCCCAGTGGTTGTATCTGCTCCTGGGCCCTGAAAAGCTGGGGCAGACCAGGGAGAGGATGTCTCTTCAGGCACGGAAGCTGAAACCATTTGCAGCATGGCAAGCCCATGCTCGTGGCTGTGTAGCTGGGAAGAGAGCATCAATGCAGAGCAAGTTGCAGGGTCAGCACTAATGCGTGTCCCTCTCTCGGCAGGCATTCCTGGAGCGTTACCTCAACCCAGGCCCAACCCTCCAGTACGACAGGGATCGCTGGTTCTCCAAGCAGTGGACACTTGTCAGCGAGGAAGCAGTCACAAGCGGGTTACAAGACGGCATTGTGTTTGTCCTCAAGTGCTTGGACTTCAGCCTTGTTGTTAATGTGAAGAAAATCCCCTTCATCAAACTCTCGGAAGAGTTCATAGACCCTAAATCTCATAAATTTGTCCTCCGCTTACAGTCTGAGACTTCAGTCTAAGGGATTTTGAGGGTGGGTTGTTTGGGGATTTTTTTTTTTTTTTTCAATATTGTGCTTTTGGGTTTAATTTCCCCAATGCTGACTGAAACTGGCAGATGATGGACCAGTAATATTTGACCATCTGCACTTTATTTGGAAAGGGGAGGGGGGGGAGTTGGGTTATCTTATCTAGAAAGAAATATCTTAAGAGGCGACAGGGTGACTTGGCTCGGTTAGCTCAGCCTTGGAGACAGAACAGATTTATATATATTGTTTTTTTTTTTCCCTTTCCTCCGCTCCTTTCCAGGCATACTGTAAATCTCACGCTCCCCCTCTCCACATGATTGCGACGTGGGTGTTTTTGTTGGAGCTCTGCCTTACGCCCTGCGCCTTTGTGTCTCTGCTTTTGTGACCTGTCGCTGTCTCCGGGAGCGCTCTGCTCGCCCCTCCGCTGCAGAAACCCCCTGGGACAGCAGGGATTTGCAGTCCCTCTTCCCTCGGGGAGGATCTAGTGGGGGGGAACCCTTCAAAGGATGGGTGTGAGAGCTTCTGTGAGCCACCTAACCTGGAGACTGAAGACTTTCATTCTTTTCCTCCTCTCCATGTGCCCTCTTCTGTCAGTGCTGGACCTGTAAGAGCATAGTGGGGTGGTTTTTGCTTTCTGTGTCTCTGAAGCTGCTTGTCTTGAAGTGGATCAGCCCATCTTGCAGCCCTTCAATTTTATTTTTTTTTTTTTTTAACCAGTGCTTGTTAGTGAAACTGTTCTGCGTGGTGCAGCTCCCTGTTATCTCTCACTTGCTTCCCTCTCTCCTGTTTGCCTGCGTCTCCCAAGGCTCCCTCTTTCTGTCCCCTTCCCTGTGGCTTTCTGAATGTGTTTCTCTCGCCACGGTCCCCTCGGGGTCTGCCTTACCGCCCGTTCCTTTCGCACCTGCAAGGGCTGCCTGTTTGCACTGGGACGGGGCAGAGTAAGTACCTGGCTTCTCCTCCCATAAATCACAGACCCTCCCTACGTCTGACAGCCTCTTGAAGGGGAAGAGGGGTGCAGGCAGGAATGTGCCTCTCCCTCTCCAGCTGGCTTCAAGTGCGTCTGGAGGAAAGAAGGGCAAAAGCATTTCCCTCCTTGAGGAGAGGAGCCAGGGAAGGGCTGATCTTCGCCACGTGCACTTGGCTTGGGAGAACTGCTGTGCTCTGGAAACGCTGCAGTGTGTCCTTCCCTGCCATACGCCTTCAGCTATAGCTAAGAAATACCAAACTATGTCTGAATGTTGTAAAATCTGCCTGCCTTTCTTGGCCTTCCTGTACTGCAGGAGGTTCTGCTCGGTGCCGGGACCTGCTCCTGTCAGAGATGCCTAGCTCTTAAATTGCAGTTTGGTTTGCAAGGCTGCCTTTGCCCATCAGTGCAGCTTTGGTGTGTGACTTCTGTCCTCTCAGATCTGCGGAGTTTTGAAAAGTTTGCTTTTAACGATGGGCCTCTAAAGCGATGTCTGAAGTCTGATTGCCAGCACAGGGCATTGTCTGACTCTGGAGCCAGCTCCGAGGCTGGCAGGGACCTGCCTTTAGTCAGGTCTCTCTAAGAACCCAGCTCTGTGGTGGTAGATTTGCGTGTGCGAATGCAAACGCTTGATTCATTTTGCACGCACACCCCCCTCAGTCTTTTGCCTTGCAAATATCTCTATCAGGCAGGATCTGACCTGCCTTCCATACAGATGTCTTAACACAGAGGTCCCCAGTTCAGCAAGGTGCATAAGCCAGTGCCTTTTGCTGCCAGGGTGCATTGTCTTCCATGGGGAGCTGTGACAGCCTTTCCCACCCCCTCTGGCCTTTCCTGGGTTCCTTCACCAGCTCATGGGGCTGCCCCTCGCTCCTACCAGCGCGAGGTGGCCTTGGCCAAGAGCAGGGCTCTGCCAGTCCTTCATGGCATGGCTGGTATGGGCTGACTGGTGCCCACCATGAGCCGGTGGGAGGGAGCAGCTGCCTTAAGCTGAGGTGCAAGGGACATGGCAGGGGGGTCCAGCCTCTTTGAGCTTCAGCAGCAATGGAGCTGCCATGTCCAACAGCACCCACGAATAGTCCACTTGGGATCAAGGGAACGCTCTGGTGAGCGAGGGTCCAAAGCGGTGATTCCTTATCCAAGGGACACCTGCAGTCTCCTGCATCTCTCCCACAAGTGCATGGTAGCCACCTGGATCCTGTGTTTTCCATGTAATGTGCCAGACATGGTTGTGAAGAAACTAGATGGCGCGGTACATGATGGGATCAGGCCCACATCCCTTAAAGGGTGGGAATTAGGTAGAGTTTTCCCTTCCCTAAACTTAGTGTTTGCGTTTCTTTCTAGGTCAGACTTTCTGGTAGTCTGTACAGGGACTCCTTTATTGACTGTGGCCTTTGCAGTATTCTGTTTTGTAGAAGTACATTATTTTATTCCCTCCTGGGGAAAAAAAAAAAAAAGGAAGTATCTCACTCTTGGCTCTCCTAAAGATGCATGTATCTGACTTTTATGATGTGCATAACCAGCAAGGTGGGAGAGACTGGGAGTAGCTTGGGAGACTATGGAGCACTTATACCTGTGTGGAGGCTTCTGCCTGTGGCTGAATTTGCTCGTTTCTCTGAAGCCAGAACAAGAACCACCTTGCCAGGGGCTTGGGTGTGCCATGTGCGTGAGAGAGCACCTTGTCTCAGACATCTCTGCAGAACTTCCTTACTTTCCCAGGATTTCCTTCCCCTTTCCTTTTCCCTCCCCCCACGAGGGCGGTTGTCTGACAGTATCTGCTCAGGAAACTCACGTCTTTAATGGTGTTAAATCCTTAAACACATGGACAGCCAGGGGGGAAACAACACAGGCTCGCTCTGGGTCTGCTCCCCCGTCTGCGTGCTGTGGGTCAGCGCTGCCTTCTCTGCCTCCTGCCCAAAAGGACACTGTCCAGGGGGGGACAACTCCTGTGTTAAACACTCTTCCCTGTCTCAGCAGCGTGAATACTTTGCTTGATGAAATCTGAAGGAGAGGACTTGGCCTCTCAGAGCGTTCCTTCAGAGTTGCAACCTGCCTGTGGGTGAGGAGAGACTAAAGGCGGAATTGGGACTCCTGAGTATTCCCTGGTTTTGTTGTTGTGTTGGGTTTTTTTTTGTCATTTTATTCCTTTCAGGGTTTTTCTTGTTTCCCCACTCCGTGCAAAATCAGGGGACCACTGTCATACCTACCTCTCTGGGGTGTTGTGAGGGTAAACTCCAACTTGTTGTCAAGTGCTTCGAGATCCACAGATGGATCTGTGGCATCTATAGGAATTGAGACTCTTCATGAAAATACTGAGCAGTGAGAGCAGACTGGTTTGTTTAACTCTGTTTATAGCCAGCTAATGAGTAAGAATGGAGTCACAGGGAACGAAGCTCTGATCCAAAATCCTGCAGTCCTTCTTCTGCAGAGCTTGCCAAGAGCTGAGCATAAATAAGGCTTGTAGGATTTGCCAGCCAAGAGCAGGCTGTTTTCCTCCAAATGCCTCTCCTATCCTGCAATGTCTCCTTGCACATATTCTCCCTCCTCTCTCCCAGCCTGGATGCTTGTACCTGGCTGGGAGATGTTTGTCGTTTTTTTTAGAATTCAACTGGTTCATAAGACAACCTTGTTTGTGGTGAAGTGGACAACGTCCACCTCAGGAGGTGGATATCTTTCACTAAAGGCTGACCCACTGGGTAGGGTGCCATGCTATGTACCCAGGAGTGGTGTTGCCCCACTCTTGTCTTCCACGTTGGCATTTTTCCTATGGCTTTCAAGGACGCCACTTGGATACTTTAAAGGCTTTGGTGTTTTTTGCTCTCAGATTTGTTACAGCCTAAATCCAAAGCCATGCTGAGCTCTTCCAAAACCAGATGCAGCTAAGACTTTCAACTGTTACGGAGCAGATGGAAATGGCTGTGGGTTCCCACAAAGGCAGGCTTTCTCTTTCATGGCTAAAGAGTGGAGGATTCAAATTTCTTGCAGCTTCTAGGAGTGATGGGGCAGATATTAATCCCTTAATACCTTGCCAGTCTTCTAACTGGGGTCTGGGTGAAGGTTGTTAACACATCTCTGAGCCCCTCATTGTCACGTGGCTGCAGCACTCTCAGAAGTATTTTAGCTCTCCCCTTCCATAGTGTAGTGGTGGTCCCTGACCCAAGCCCCAAGTCACCTTGGGGAGGTGTGGAGGGGATGCTGCTTGCCACTACCAGTTTTCACCCTGGGAAGGGGAGATGCTGCCACCCACACACCCCTGTGGGCAGCAGGGTAGCTGGGGTGGGATGAACCCTGCATGGAAATAGTGGTGTGATGCAGCTTGCTCACAGTGCAAGCTCAGCTCCTGCTTCTGGGGTTGTTTTGGGTGCCTTCAAGAGCGATTCACCTCCTGAAGGGGGATATTGGAGAGAAAGGCAGATCTGATTTCAGCCTCTGCCAGCTATTCTTCTTGACTTCTGCCTCTAAAAACTTTCCTTCCAGCAACTTCAGTCACTGCAGCTCCCATCCTCCCCTCCCTGCGTCTTTCCCTGAAGTTCCCTAGTGAGGTAGAACAAGTACCCTCTGGGATGGGAGGTGCTGGGGCTACAGCTTGGAGCTTGGGGGCAGCTCATGATAAGGCACAAATCTGGGGGAGGTCTGAACAAATCCCAGCCCCAACGGAGCCTCTTAACCTTTTCCTTTGGGATGGGAATCTCCACGCAAAGCCTCGGGAACTGGCTGTTGCCAAGTGTGCCAAAAGCTGCGAGGAAGCAGTTTATGAACCTGGCCCTGCATAAGTAGCTTTTAAAAGTCTCGTTTGAGAGGTGCTCGTTTCCAACACTTGCTGCTGAAGGAACTAGAAAGATTCATGCTGTGCTAAACGTGGAAACCTATTCGAGCCAATTTCATCTTGCTTACCAAAACTTGTAAATCTGCCCTTTTCAGAGGTAAAACAAAAAAAAAAAAAGAAAAAAAGCCTTGCAGTCTTTTGCAAAAATGCTGTAGCCTGGTCCCACGCTCCACTGTTTAGCTGTGCTCCGTTCTGCCCTGCCGTATGAGAGCTGTTCCTGAGGTCTGTGCACAGATGTCTGTTTTCTCATTCAGCTTGTGTGTCTGTGTGTGCTTTTTTTTCCTTATAAATGTGTGCGTTATACATGGCTAAAAGCCTCAAGCCAGGCTTGGTGGTTCGGTGTTTTAAACCCTGTTAAGAAAGAAGTGCTCTTGGGATTGAGCTGTTGGGGTTTTGTTTGGTTTTTTTTTTAAAAAAATAATGAATTAACACTCCCTTCCCCCCCTCCCCCCAAATTTCTGTTCTCCTAAAAGAGATGGCTTTGGGCCATGAAGTCTCCTACAGGAATATGCATCCTCCTGCGTTCAGGCTGCTGCCTCCAACAGATGACGATGACCAAAAGTTGCCGTTCCCCGCCAGGCTGCTCTGTGCTGGGTGTGGATGGATGGCTTTGGGATGCTCCTCAGCACCAGCAGCACGGCCGGCATCATCCACATCCCTCCGAGAGACTCTGCTTTTATCCCTTGTAACGTACCCAAGCCCTGCGGGCAGCCAGCCCTGCTCTGCCGAGAGAGAGAGAGAGGGAATGAATCCTTCCCTCTGGCCGCTTCCCCAGCACCTCTCACCAGCGCTAACGAAGCTTGGGGGTACCCATCTCCTGCGTGCAGGGGGCTGAGGGGATGCTGTGGCTCGCTGCCTGCACAGGTGTTAACTGTGAAGGAATCTTACACTCTTCTGTGCCTGTTTCTTTGATTCAGCATTATCGTGTCTTGGGGAAAGGGGGTGGGAGCGAACGCCCTTCCCTCACCCCCTTTTGATCACTGTGTAATACTCTTTTTCTACACAAACTGTGTATAGTAAGATGGGTTTTGCCAAGGTTTTCTAATTAATAGACACTAACCAGCATTTCTTTCCTATTTCCCCCCCCCCCTCCTCTTTGCACATGTGACTTTAACTGCAATGGTACATGGTCTTTCTGTTCTTTTCTAATTGTGGACTTAAGTAAGCGAATTCCTGGTGTCTGTGACATTAATGCACTGTGGGTCTAGCCTAGTAAGTTGTTCTGTTCCAAGCTGGGTTCTCTTAAGTTATAGCTGGATGGGGTTTTGTTGTTTTTAAACTGAAACATAAAACCGTTTTACACTTTGCATATTTTGTACAGTAAAAATTCTGGAAATAAACTGAAACCAGATTCGATTGTCCCACTCCTTCCTCTTATCCTTTCAGACAAGAAAAAAAGCTTTCTCTTTTCTTTTTTTTTCTTTTTTTTTTTTTTTTTCTGGCCTTCAAGCATTCCTTAGCTGTGGCGGGGAGGGGCCCTGCAAACATGTGGTTTCACCTTTTTTTGAAGGCTTTTTGTTACCCTCGTTCTAGACCTTTCTCATCTTCCCTGCCACAGTAAAATGCAAACTCATTTATCACTCCTGAAGAAAGACTGGCTTTGAACACCTGAAATCTCAAATGATGAGGAGCAAATGTGTGTGTTGGGGGGGGGTGTGTGCACGACTGGAGCAGGAACAGGTTTTTCTGCCTCCTGTCTCCTCTTGTAGTTCGCACATGAATTATGAAGTGCTGGGTTCGTGGCGAGGTTCCTTATTTGGACCTGGCAGGGAGGAGGAAAAGCCAGTGCTCCTTGTTTGCGTGGACAGGAGCCCGTGCTCTGCTCAAACACTGCCTGGGGGTCTCGCCCCAACAGCCCCTGTGGGTACAGCGCTCCCCCCACCTCCAGTTTCCATCACCGGTGTGCCAGGAGCTGGGAAAGACCGAGCAGCTGTGCCCGAGGAAATTTGGAAGCAGCCTTCTCTAGAGCATCTCTGGTACCCGATTTTCAGGAAAACCCCTTTTGAATGGGGAGTACCTGGCCTCGCAGCCGTGCCCTGCCCCCCGGAGCTCCTCCCTGGCTTTGCTGGAAAAATCCACAGGATGCAATGAGGAAAAAAATATAATAATACAATGCAGCAGTTGTGGAGATAAGCGGCATGAGTATAAATGCTGGTGGAGAGAAACATCCGAATAGGTAATTCTGCTTGGGGGAGGGAGGAGGTGGATGTTTTTAGGCTACAGAGTGCTGAACTAAAGCCCGGGAGGAAGCAGGAAGGGTGGGATGGCCATGTGCTCAGTCCTGCCTCCTGCCCTCCTCTGATCCCTGCTTTTGATCTGTCCCCCTTCATCCTGCGGGTGCTTTTGGCAGTGCCCAGCCCTGGGCTGTTTATGGTGCTGCTCCTGGAGATGGGCAGGGAGAGGAAATACCACCCTGCAGAGCCTGTACCTTTGCCGGTCCCCTCCTGCCCCTCGGAGGAAGATCTGACTTACCAGACTGGAGCTGTGTGGGTACAAACACTGTGGGAGCCGGCCCCAGGTGTGTGTAAGAAGCAGGAATTTGGCACGGACAAGATAATGGGCTCGTCAACCTCGTCCCAGGCTCTTATCCCTGAGAGTTGCGTCTTTACATGCGAGTTCAGCACGCTCTGTTTCATTTGTGGCTTGATGCCGATACCAAACCAACACCCCATCGCTGCCGTTCGTGGCACTTTTCTCTCCTGCTGTGGGCTGTAGAAGCTGATGGAAGGAACAGGCTTTGCTAGAGGGACCAGTTCCCCTGGCCTTCACCCAGAGCTCAGTTATCTGAATCATTAGGGGCTGTGGCGCGCAGCTCAGCAGAAATGAGAGCTGAGGGTGCTCTTCTGCTTTGGCCAAGTCTTTCGCTGAGATTGTAGGGGTCTTTGAGGTGCAAGGGAGCCTCGGGTGCAACGCTGGGTTAAGTATTAACCAACCCAAACCTCTGATAGAAAAGGGGATGGAGCAGCACTTGGAGGGACCTGGCATGCCAAACCTTCTGTCTGAGGGACATACCAGATTGGGGTCACTTAGGAAGGAGAGGACTGTCCTGCAGTGCCCTTCCCAGACATGAGGGCATAAGGCTGTGCTACCCTGAGAAAGCACAGCAACAGCCAGTAGGCCAGGTAAGGAGTATTTGATGCTGAGCAGGGCTTATGGCTGAAGTGTGGCTTAATACGTAAGATCGATTGACCCCAGTAAAGTGATAGGACCAGGCTTCGAGGGTGTAGAGAGATGGGGGTCGGTCTCTTTTCTCAAGTCACAGGCAATAGGACAAGAGGAAATGGCCTCAAGTTGCGCCAGGGGAGGTTCAGGCTGGATATTAGGAAAAATTCTTTCACTGAAAGGGTTATCAGACATTGGAATGGGCTGCCCAGAGAGGTGGTTGAGGCACCATCCCTGGAGGTGTTCAAAAAACAGGTTGATGTAGTGCTGGGAGGTATGGTTTAGTGATGGTGATGCTTCTTGTTGGTTGTGCAGGTGTCTGTTTTTGTCAGTTAGGTTGACGGTTGGACAAGATGATCTTTAAGGTCCCTTCCAACCTAGAAGATTCTGTGATTCTGTGATTCCCAGTTACGGATGTGAAGATGTCAGAGGACATCAGCGTTGGAGAATTCAGTGGGGAGATACAGGGTAAAGGGGCTGCATGCAGCCAGGCTGTAACGAATAGGTTAAGAAAGGAATTTGTCACCTTGGGCAGTGGGTCCCAGAGCCTTGTGTGAAGCAGTAGCAACACCTCACCGTACAATATTGTTAGGTAAATTAATAGCTCAATGAAACATCTGGCTGTGGAGGTGGGCAAGGGCTTCAAGCCCCAGAATAGCTTCTCCTGGTGCTTTGTATTGCCTCTGTTGTCCCAGACCCAGACCTGAACTCCTTGGAGGTGGAGGGAAGAGTTGAATTTGAGGGCTTCCAGGGAAAGCGTGGGCAGCAAACCAGGGAGGGGGGGGCTGGAGCTCGGGGCAGGTGGGGTGGGTGCGAGGGGAAGGGGATGTCTCAGCAGGACGTGGCGTCTCACAACAGCATTGCGGGAAGGGAAGGCGCCCCTGGGAGTTGGCCAAGCAGGCCGCTTTGATTTGTCTTTCAACACCACTCCTGAGTTTATGTTGGACTGGGAAGGCGATGGGTTTAGGTTACAGTCCTTTCCGGTACTGACAGATCATCCACTGGAGCAGGGGTGTCTCTGTTCCCTTTCCATGTGTGCATCCGTGCACTGCTGGGTCAGGAGGCGCTGAGAGAAGAGAGAGGGAGCACTGAGCATAACACTCCTGCAGAGGTGGGTAGGGATGGTGTAGTGGGGTGATTGTGTGTGCATAAATCACTGCGTACGAACAAGGTTACCCGGATTGCTCTGAAATGCTGTAGCAAGTTTTACGGCCCTGCTGTGAGTGTGCGTGTGGCTTTATGCTGACACTTTGCTAGCAAAATGGAGAGTACCTCAATCGGGCAGCAAGCTGTTTTCCAGCTTCTCCCCATCTACTTATTCCCCTCCATAATGAACTTGGAAAGGGTTTGAGGTATTTTATCACAGCGGGCTGTGATCAGATTGGGGGCTGCCAGCCAACCAGTGAACTCCAAAGCCTTGAGCCGATCTTCCCTTCCTCCAAAATCTGGGGAGCTGCCTGGGGTGAAGACAGTCATGGGGCTGACATGACTTGGGGCTTGCTCTGCTTCCAGCTCAGCTCCTGCAAATAACCTGGGGACGCCGAGAGCCCTGCAGCAGCTGTACTGCTGCTTGCTGGCCTCCCAAAAACCTGCCCGCGGGAGGAGGAGAACGGTTGTTTGCTGGTGGGGACGCAGCCAAGATGAAGGCAACAAACAGTCTTTGGGCTCTATGTGGGCAGCAGTAAATATGATTTAGAAGAGGAAGAAGGGAGATAAATTTTGACTTGTGGATGTTTGTTGGAGATAGCTCAGTGCATCCATCTCTCAGGTGTATCAAAATACGGAGGAAAGAGCAAAACCTTGAGAGAGAGACAGTGAGACAAGGAGGAGGCAATATGAAGTCAGTGGAAAAGACCTTGGAGAACAGGGTGTGGTTTTTCCCTCCAGCACCCTTAGAAACATGAAGGTACTCAGATTTTAAAAACAAAACACACCACAAATTGCTTTAGGCATGAAGCTATTCTGTAAATTGAAACATTTTAAGTCTCTTCCAAAGGCAAAAGTCAGGCTTCCAAATACTCAGATACCTACAGTCTTGGTCATCTTTTCTTTTTTTTAATTTTTCTCTACTTGAAAAGGTAGCATGAATGAAAATTGGATGCATGGAGAGAAGGGAGTTCTTGATAAAATGTGTTTGATTCGGCTTCTCTGGAAGTTTTAAGTGACACTCAGAACTTTTTAGCTCTTTGGACCTCTCTTCAGCACGAGTCTGATGCTGTGGGCATGCTTTAAAAGAGGGAATGAGAAGAAGCTGATTATATCTGGGCCACAGATGTGAAACAGATCTGCAAACCTTTTAGCTTCTATTTTGTAAAAGCTCATTCTTGAGTACTCATAATACCAGATCCTACAGTTGATTATAATTTTGCTTTATAAGTGGTTGGGAGAAACTGGTTTAGTAATTCAGTAACTAGACTGTGGGAAGCTGTGCAAATTCCTTCAGCGATTTCATTTTGTGAGGACTAAAATGTTCTTCAAACATTTAGGTACTTTTGTCGTTCAACAGCCTCTTTCTTTGTTGCTAGCAGGAGCAGGGCTTTGACATGTTGGATTGAATTTTAAAGCAAAGCTCTAACACCAGGCAAGTTTCAGGGCTTCTCTCTGGTCTAACATGATTTTATTTTTACCTGGATTACTGAAGGAGGGACCTGACTCAAGCTAGGCTTCCTCCAAATCCAAAAGGGGAGGATGAGGTTGCCCATGGCTATTTAAGTCATTTGCCACCCATGACCAAAGGAGAATTCAGTCAGGACGGTTGACGGTCTTCTTGTGCAGGTAGTTGGCTTTCTGGCTGTTGTTGAAATATGGAATAACCCCTCCAGCAAACTTAGTTTGTTTAACCCTTGAGACTTATTTTTCATGTGTGAAGTCATGCCACTTGTCATCTGCTCAGCCAGTGGAGCGGTGTGATTGCCGGTGGCAGTGGGGGTTACTAATGTCTTCCCACAGTGGTAGACAAGATGGCCCAACCTCTCCCTGTGCAGTTGAGGCTTGGGTGAAGGGTGATGGTCCCTCATCTGGATTTTGGGACTATCAGAAAAAAGCATCCACCTCAAAAAAACCCACCTGGTATTTCTGCAGTGCCCAGACCGGTGAAACAGCTTCGCCTTGAGCGTGTGCCACCTGTCACCCCCAGAAGGAAAGACAGTCTCAGTCTTGTTTAGTTGTCTTTCTCCTTGGGAAGGAAAT